ATTCAAAACTTTTCCGTGGTACAGAGTAACTTCAGAAAAACTTCATGGAAGATGATTAACTGTTTGATTTATTGGTCTTTTCTTTCCTCCCAACCTTTACTATTTTTCTCTTTTATTTATATTCTTTTAAGAAATATTTCAGTCAAAAATAAAGTTTACTTTGTTTATTTTAGTTAAAAATAAATTTTTATTTTGAAAAATAAAATAAATTTTTCATAAAAATAAATTTAACCAAGAATATCATATCTCCTTTCTTTATTTTCCAAAGAGCACATATATCCAATTACACCCAGAATAGCAAAAACAAAGGATCAAAAATTTGCTCCCCCTCAAACACAACAAAAATGTATGTTACAACCAAGACATTATTTTAAAAAGTCATTGACTTACTGGAAATTTTTACCTTTCTACTGTCTTAATTTTTCTTCTTACCAATTTCTTCATTTTTTTTCCCCTACAAAACTATTCATTTACTACACTGTGTAAATTCCTGGACCTGTTTCATAGCAGCCTACTTTGTCATCAACTTCTTCCTATTAATAAGAGAATCCTTGTAATTATATATCATTAAAGGTATATAAGCAAGTCAGCAGAATAAATCTCTTAACCTTGGGCTGTTGGAGGGTTCATCAGGAATTCCTGTTTTAGCTTATACACCAGCACTTTGATAGGGAAAAGTGTATGCTTCCTCATCCTCCTGGGTAACTTTTCACTTTCCTTCCAAGCATTTCTCTAATCTGAAGACTTTTTTTCATCGAATTATTACCCACCATTCTTTGAAGTCACAAGTTAAGAAAAAAAAAAAGAAACAGAAATGGAAATAAGTCAAATGTATGATACACATTGCAGTGTGTGTGTGTTCAGTTGCTTGGTCTTATTCAACTGTCTGCAACTCCATGGACTGTAGACCCCAGGCTCCTCTTTCCATGGGATTTTCCAAGCAAGAATACTGGAGTGGGTTGCCATTTCCTACTCCAAGCAATCTTCCCAACCCAGGGATTGAACCTGTGTCTCCTAAGTCTCCTGTATTGGCAGGCAGGTTCTTTACCACTGAGCCACCTGGGAGTACTATGGTTCTTTTATATAGAAAAATAAGAATTTCTATGAATTTGGAAATTCTTATGCCATGCTTATGGCAGAAAGTGAAGAAGAACTAAACAGCTTCTTGATGAAAGTGAAAGAGGAGAGTGAAAAAGTTGGCTTAAAACTCAACATTCAGAAAACTAAGATCATGGCATCTGGTCCCATCACTTCATGGCAAATAGATGGGGAAACAGTGAAAACAGTGGCTGACTTTATTTTGGGGGGCTCTAAAATCAATGCAGATGGTGATTGCAGCCATCCTTGAAAGGAAACGCATACTCCTTGAAAGGAAAGTTATGACCAACCTAGACAGCATATTAAAAAACAGAGACATTACTTTGCCAACAAAGGTCTGTCTCCTCAAGGCTATGGTTTTTCCAGTGGTCATGTATGGATGTGAGAGTTGGACTGTGAAGAAAGCTGAGCACCGAAGAATTGATGCTTTTGAACTGTGGTGTTGGAGAAGACTCTTGAGAGTCCCTTGGACTGCAAGGAAATCCAACCAGTCCATCCTAAAGGAGATCAGTCCTGGGTGTTCATTGGAAGGACTGATGCTGAAGCTGAAATTCCAGTACTTTGGCCATCTGATGAGAAAAGCTGACTCATTTGAAAAGACCCTCATGCTGGGGAAGATAGAGGGCAGGAGGAGAAGGGGACGACAGAGGACGAGATGGTTGGATGGCATCACCGACTCAATGGACATGAGTTTGGGTAAACTCCTGGAGTTGGTGATGGACAGGGAGGCCTGGAGTGCTGCGGTTTTGGGGTTGCAAAGAGTCCGACATGACTGAGTGACTGACCTGAACTGAACTGATGAATTTGGGAAATTAGTTTGAACAAATCACTCTTCGATATCTGAAAACTAACAAAAAAAAGTGTAATCCATAAAACTGTTTCTCATTAATATTACAAATTGTATTACAACATATGAGCAAGTATGGGTAAATTATACTTTAAGACATGAATTTAAAAGTGTTCTAGAAAACCATTTAGAAAGCATGGATACAGTGGAGTGCTCATGGAATTTGTCTCTTCCTACAGTATATTTTATTATGTCTTAAAGTTATTTATTAGGGGATAGAAAAACAGTTTTTGTTAATTATTTATTAATATTAAAATATTGATGAGCATTACGTAAGCGTAATGGGATTTTAGCTGGTGCACTGTTCTGAAACTACTGAAATGCAGCCAACACAAGGGGCGTGTATTAAAAGAGCAGAACAAATGACTTAACAGGGGCCTAAAAGCGGCAATCAGAAAGGGTTCATTTAACTTAGAGATGGCACAAGCTTCGAGCAATTGCCTCTACTTAAGTAAGTGTGGAATTACAAAAGGCTATTTATTACAATCCAGCAAGGCCCTGCAGCTTGCTCAAAGACCTTTGAAGAATTTCAGCAGTTATAGAGTCTTGCACAGGGCAGAAGCAGTAAAACTTAGGCAGCTCCCCAAAAGAGCCTGGAAAGCATTCACTAAAAAGTTTATTTGATACTCCACAATTGTTCTTAGAAACAAATTATTTTCTCTTTCTTCTTTTTTAAGGAGAGATGCTATACCTGGTAATTTTCAGAACTTCTTTGAAAATATATTTTAACTGTTAAGAAAAATAAACCAGTTTCAAATGATATGAAATTAAATAGGGAGGGTCTCCATGGGTTTAATAGGATAGTATTCCAACATTCAACTTCTTTGAAATGCTCTGGAAGCATGCATTAGAAGTCATTCAATTAATGGATATACTTCAGGAGGAAACTTGTTGAAATTTCTCCATTGTTTTCGGTACAGAAGAAAGCAGAATTATTAGCAAAGATATTGGGACTGAAATTATTCTAGTAACAATAAAATAATAAATTGTTTTTTTAAATATTAGAGTAAATAAAAAGAAATTAATTGTTAAAAATTTAACATACCTGCTATTTATTTCAGTGACATGATTATAAATTTTGAATAAGTTTATAAAATTTCAACTAAATATGTGTAAAATAGCTTATCCTTAGTGTAAATCAATTTCAGAGCAGCAAACTGCCTCAGTGTTAGGGCTGGGGTTATTATGAGGCAAGTTTGAAAAATAAAATAATATTGAATAGACAAAAGGCAAACATAAAAGATAAATGATATCAGTTACATGAAAGTATGCGTGCGTGCATGCCTGCTCAGTTGCTTGAGTAGTGTATGACTTTTTGCAACTCTATGGACTATAGCCGGCCATAGAGTTCTGTCCATGGAAATCTCCACCAAGAATACTGGAGTGGGTTGCCATGCCCTTCTCCAGGGGATCTTCCTGACCCACAGATCCTACCCGCATCTCCTGTATTGCAGGCAGATTCTCTACCAACTGAGCCCCCAGGGAAGGCCCCATGAAAATATATTAATTGTTAATGGGAGGGAAATGTGATAGAAGAAGTGATTTTACTTTTCCATCATAAAAGCAACACTTACATTTTATTTTGGAAAAAAATTAAGTGATCATCCCCTGGCCATTAAAATAATGAGACTTTAATTACAAAAATACATAAGATATTGCATATAGTAGAAATAAGAAGATGGAAAATATGCTATAATAAATGCTTTAAGTTTATACTTTGTAAAGAAGTGTCACAAGGCAAGTTTAATGAAAGCTCTATTTTTAAGTGAAGAATAAAATGAAAGGCATTTATAGACAGGAATAATTTGGATGACAGTTTGGATGCAAAAGCTGGCAAGATAATCATAATAATGTTAATAATAATAATGATAGTTGATAATCAAAGAAACAGCAGATCCACATATAGGAAACACCTATTGCTAGCTCTTATAGGAAATGCAAATACATGGGGTTCTAATAATCCTTGATTTGAGAAAAATCTATAAAAAATATGTCCTTTAGTAATGAAAGCACTTCAACAGTTAATGTTCCTTAGAACTCTTGATTTTTGTTTGTTTCATGTTTGTAATTTATTTTACTGCATTCCATTAGGGAAGAATGCTGCTGAACTTCACAATGAGGATTTTGGTTGGCCAGGGTACCAAGACTGAGATTTGAAACCCAGAGTGCATTTATGGATAGTATGCATTTTTCTTTCTAATGGAAGGATTTGAAGTATGATATCACTTAAAACATATTTAATCTTCCATTAGAAAATATGGTGACCCTGTGATAACTGATCCAGACAGGTGTTTTTTATTCATATTTATATTTTTGATAATGCATTGGAAAAAGATAACAGAGTCACCACCCAATAAGAGCCTCAAAATTTATCTAGAGAATTGTGACACAAAGAGCACCCACTTCCTCAGTACTTCTTACTAAACAAACTTTTTTAAGAAATGGAAATGTGAAAGTAGAGAGTATTATTTCCTGGTATATGTATTTTTATTCATGAGAACGTTTTTGTCAGAAGTCAAGATCCATTTTACTATGTCCTAAATCCTATCTATTTTACAATACACTAAATATTATTATTACCTATGGATACCATGGGACTCCTTGTGCATAATGGATTCCAGTCCTCTTACAGAGTTGTATATGAAAATGTTATCAATGAGCTGAAGACTCTGGCATTCATAACTTTGCAACATTATAACAAATATGTAGTCCTAATGTTTTTTTTTTAATATATCAAATATATTTCATTGCTTACATTATAGTAGCAGATTGAAAACATCTGCTCACTTGCCACTAGTCCACCAGCAGCTGAAAATCTCAGTTCATTTTCCATAGGCCTGTATGTACCAGGGCTATAATCCAGCTGCTGAGGCCTGATATGGGGCCAGATTAATACTCAAGAGCCTTTGAAATGGAAATAGTGCTTTCTTGCCAAGATTAGAACAATGATAGTCTCCATTTGCTTGTCCCCTTCCCTCTCTGCTCTTCTTTACTGCCCTTCCCAATCCAATTAATTTTCCTTCTCCCATCAAACCCTCCCATCCTCTCTTTACAGCTCCATCACCCGTCATGACGATTAAGAAAGATCGGACATCCAGAAACAGCATTTCTTTATCCTGGCAAGAACCTGAACACCCTAATGGGATCATATTGGACTATGAGGTCAAATACTACGAAAAGGTGGGGGAGATAATGTTAAAAGAGTTGAGTTGTATCAGGAAAGAGGTTATTTTCTCATGAGTATACTCTTGCAAAGAAACTAATGACACTGCTTGCTAGTGAAAAAGCTCTATTTAGAACTCTGGTCATGTGCTACCTTTGATTTATAGGTAGAGGAGGGTTTAGAAATTATTGTATTGAATATCCCCCATTCCAGAGCAATAAGCCATAGCAAAGATGTTACCATTGAATGTAAGCCATCTAGTTATGATATTAGAGATGATATTTGTGTCTTCCACAGGAGACCCCTGTTCTAAGCAACCATTGTATAGCAATTCCTTTATCTATTGATGAACTATTCCTAAGTTCATTGCATTAAGCATCATTTCCTGACCTTCACACTCACATGAATTTTACTCAATACAGATAGGAATGTTGAACTGATAACAAAACCATTATATTATTGAGTTGATGATTAAAGCTTTCTTTACTTTGTACAAGGAGATTAGAAGATGGGAGTATGTGTGCCTCACATTATAAAATTGTGTTTGGTAATACAATTATAAAAAATAGGTACATGATTATTTGTAAGGATAATTCAGGCCATGATATTTCATCACTCTAAGTACCACTTATTTCTCCCTGGGTATAAATCATGGTGAGGTTTGAAAACAAGATGTATTCAAACCTTATCAATAGAGCTGGGTGGTTTCATAGCTACTAAAATGAACACAACATATTCATTTATCTGCTGCAGTTTACAAAGTATTTTAAAATGAATTGTGTATTGATAGCTTCTAGTTACAGAACACTTCTACATGCATTATGTTGAGTTGTTTGATAATCTGATGACAGTGAGTAAATAGGTTCTTTTACAATTACAAAAACTGAGAGTCAGTGACATTTGAATTTCTCACAGCCTCACTGCTAATAAGCATTAGTTCTCTGTTTTGAATTCTGACAGCCATCACTCCTCATGTAAGATGTTTTCCCCTATATTGCATATCTTCCTCTAAATGAAAATGGATCATTAAGAGATGTAAGAATTATTAGTATGGTCAGTTATGCAAAAAAAAAAAAATCTAATATATAAGCATTTCTCTGCACTATGTAGTTATGCTGTTTATTGAAGTTAAAGTATTTCACAAGTATGATGCCATTTTTTTCATACTGCCCCCTACAGGAAAAAGGATATGTCTCTTTGATTGAGAGAAAGTGAGACCTAATAAACCTCATTGTGCCAAAATTGTAGTATGAATAAATTACCTCCTAGCTTTCAGTGATCCACTGTGGTACTATCAAGTACCCATTTGATCATAATCTTCTATTTTTAAAAATGTAACAAGATAACAAAAATAAGAATCCATGATTTATAGATGATACAACAAAATAAAAAGATAATTAATCATGCACCTTAGTTCAGACTGGACAGCAGAACCAGGGAACACCCAACTTTTCTGTAGAGCTGATTCAAAAATACTACTAACCTACATTCATATCTTTTACAAACATAAAACATTTTCTGAACTTATTTCAAAGAAAGCGTAAAACAATATTTTGAAGCAATATTAACTAGCACAGGAAAAAGTGACTGAATCTATTTTTATTGTCTAAGCATTTTAAAGTCAATGTATACTTATGTGTAATATTATTTTAAATATACTTTATACAAATATTTATAGCAAATATTCATAAATTTTAAAATAAAAATTTTTTCCAAATATTTATGTATGATACTTAGAAATATTTTGAATGTTTCACTAAGATTTATGCCCTACAAGATCTAACTTTGACTAGACTTGACTAATCAAGTTCTTGACTATTTAGTTCATTAACGATGATGAACACAACCATGTTGTAGATATATGCTTAATAAATTTTTTAACATATAAAATAATGACTTCTGTAAAGTAAATACATTCAGCCTTCTTCATTATTTAATATATTAACTCAAATGCTATCTGATAGATAATCAGCGTCTTTAGCTAAAAAGTATATGTAATGCATGACTTTTTTTTCTGTAATATTCTATATAGTTTGGGTTGAGGATATACCTTGTTCTATATCACCCATTCCAGGCCCCACCCCAGATGCCAGGGACATTCCACTATTACTTGAACTTAAGTACTTATATACTACTGTATGTTAAAGGAAAAACATAATTCTATGTAAAGTCAATTTTCATAAACAAGGCTTGACACAAAAAAGTCTTTACAATTAATGTGCAATGTGAACCTCCCAGTGTACAATGTGAACTCTTTGGGGAAATATTTCTAGACATTTATCTGAAGATTTTCATCTCTACTAAACTACAGTGATTTATGTTAAACACATTGCAAATATAGTTGATACTAAGGAAGTTATTAATGTAGAATTGTGCATAAAACTTGGACCTTTTTAAGTTTAATAGTTTACAGTTACTAGAAATATTTTCTGAGAATCAGTAGGACATGCCTGTTAAGCTTAATTCAGGGGATATTTTCCTCTTTGAAAGTTTATTTTTAAAATTAGACTGAAGCTTTCATTCAGCTTTGGCTTTGAAGATAACTTATTTTCAGCCACATATTCATTAACTGGCAGAAATGAAAACTAATTTTTTCTGCATTATTTGCAGGGAACAGATTATTTTATCAAAGATGGGACATTCTATAAATATTTTTAGCTTAAAAATGCCTCTATTACATTCAGAGAGTTAAACAATTGTCGTCTCTTATCCGTCATATGAGCTGCGTTAAATCTAAAAGAACTGGTTTAGAGGGATTCAGCTTTTTACCTTCTGACATGACTAAGAAGACTCGGTTTTAACATGATTTTTCTTACCTCAAAGCAGGAACAAGAAACAAGTTATACGATTCTCAGGGCACGAGGCACTAATGTTACCATCAGTAGCCTCAAGCCTGATACTACATATGTATTCCAAATCCGAGCCCGGACCGCAGCTGGATATGGGACCAACAGTCGCAAGTTTGAGTTTGAAACTAGTCCAGACTGTACGTATTTTCTTCAATATAGTGTATGAGGGAAGGGCTGCTGCAAATATGTCTGATAATTCATTCTCACTCTGAGTTTTAGTTAAATACGTGATACATTGAAAGAAGACTGCTTCTTCTTGTTGTTCAGTCATTAAGTCATGTCGGACTCTCTGCTACCCCGTGGACTGCTGCATGCCAGGCTCCCCTGCCCTTCACTATTGCTTGGGGAACATTTAATAATTTTGCATAGCATTGTATATGTATTGTATTGTATTGTATATGTACAATACAAGCATTGTATATGTGCTTGTGTAAGTGTATATCTTTTTTTTTGCTCTTTTACAAATGGAATATATTCTAGTGCCTGGAATGCTTCTAATCTTCTATTGGACATAAATGTCTTTGAGGAACATTACATAATATGGCACTATTTTTTTAATATTAAAGTTAACTTCAGTATTAAAGTACCTCTTAATCCAGATATTCCAGATTCATTGCATGGTTCAATGAACTATAGAAAAAGAAACTTGATGATCCATGAGGAACTTAATATTGTTTTAATCCTCATGGATCTAGTATCATTTGGAGATGAAGGATATCTAAACTTCATTCATCACCTCATTCAGATTCACAGGTAATTTGGATAGTCCTGTGTGTCTGACTCTAAATTTATAAAATTGGCAAACATTTTCCCAATAGCATTCTGCTTTTCTTCAAATGTATTTACTTCATATTAGAAAAAACTAAAATATAATTTTCAAAAGATAAAATCATGGCTACAACATTAATTAAAATGAACACAGATTCAAGATTTTATTTACCTTATTAATGAAGAAACTAGTAACAAATTTAAAAGATTTAAAGGGAAGTATGAAGAACAAATATATATCTACATATACATACATACTTGTATGTTTGTGTCTGTGTGTATGCGTGTAGACCATCAGGAAAACTTACATAAATTGGTTAATCCAAATCTGGTTAATATACTATAGGACAATAAATATAATGACTGAGATCATCTTTTCTAACATAAACCAGTCATATCTCTAGTTAATGAATCATTCTAATTGTAATGAGAAAAATTATATACTGTATATAACTATTCTTAGCTTTTTACTTAGAACTAATTTCACAGTTGTAAAACAGGCTAGAAAGACAATCAAAGATGAACACTCTTTAGAAACAGATTATCAAGGAAGAGTCTGACAATGCCCAGCATACAACTGAAATGAAACCCAGTAATCTCTTTTGACAGTTCCAAAGTGCCTTTTCTCTCTGTATCTATATTTCCTATTTTGTAAATATTTGATTCATGATATAAAATTACATTGTTATTGGTATGGTAGTATTTTATGCCCAAATTTCATGCTTCATAGAAATATTCAAGATTAACAAAAATTATAAAAGCTGTTTAAGTTAACATGGTAAAATAAATATTTTATGGCACACTTTTTGTCAGACAATTAGAAATGCTACTTATAATAACTAGCTCTACCCTCTGCAAGGTATGAGAACTTGGTGTTAGAATTTATGAGCTCACAGCTGAAACATGACCATTCCTCTACTCAGAGCGGTGCTGCCATCCTCAAAAATGTAAATTGACACAGTTGGCCCTCAAGATCTATGGGTTCCACATTCACAGATCCAAGCAACCTTGGATCAAAAATTTACACAAGTAGAAAGTCAAGGGATATCTGGAATAACAGGCAAGTTTGGCCTTGGAGTACGAAATGAAGCAGGACAAAGGCAAACAGAGTTTTGCCAAGAAAATGCACTGGTCATAGAAAATACCCTCTTCAAAAAATACAAGAGATGACTCTACACATGGATATCACCAGATGGTCAATACTGAAACCAGATTGATTACATTCTATGCAGCCAAAAATGGGAAAGCTCTGTACAGTCAGCAAAAGCAAGACCAGGAGCTGACTGTGGCTCAATCATGAACTCCTAGTTGCAAAATTCAGACTTAAATTGAAGAACATAGGGAAAACCAATAAGCCATTCAGGTATAAACTAAATCAAATCCCTTATGATTATATAGTGAAAGTGACAAATTGATTCAAGGGATTAGGTCTGATAGACACAGTGCCTGAAGAACTATGGGCTGAGGTCCGTGACATTGTAAAGGAGGCCATCCCCATCCCCAAGAAAAGAAATGGAAAAAAAGACACAGTGGTTGTCTGAGGAGGACTTACAAATGGCTGAGAAAAGAAGAGAAGCTAAAGGCAAAGGAGAAAAGGAAAGATATATCCATTTGAATGCAGGGTTCGAGAGAAAAACAAGGAGAGATAAGAAAGCCTTCCTCAGTGACCAATGCAAAGGAAAAGATGAAAACAATAGAATGGGAAACACTAGAGATCTCTTCAAGAAAATTAGAGATACCAAGGGAGCATTTCATGCAAAGATAAGCCCAATAAAGGACAGAAACAGTGTGGACCTAACAGAAGCAGAAGATATTAAGAAGAGGTCACAAGAATACCCAGAAGAAATATACAAAAAAAAGATCTTAATGACCCAGATAACCACAATGGTGTGGTCACTTACACAGAGCCAGACATCTTAGAGTGTGAAGTTAAGTGGGCCTTAGGAAGCAATACTGCTAGCAAAGTTAGTGGAGGTGATGGAATTCCAGCTGAGCTACTTCAAAACCTAGCAGATGATGCTGTTAAAGTGCTGCACTCAATATGCCAACAAATTTGAAAAACTCAGCAGTGGCCATAGGACTGGAAAAGATCAGCCTTCATCCCAATCCCAAGGAAGGGCAATGCCAAAGAATGTTCAAACTACCACACAACTACAATTATTTCACATGCTATCAAAGTAATGCTCAAAATCCTTCAATCTTCAACAATATGTGAACCGAGAACTTTCAGATATTCAAACTGGATTTACAAAAGGCAGAGGATCAGAGATCAAATTACCAACAAGCATTGGATCGCTGAAACAAACAAGAGAATTCCAGAAAAAAATCTACTTCTGCATCATTGACTACACTAAAGCCTTTGACAGTATGGACCACAACAACTGTGGAAAATTTTTTAAGAGATGGGAATACCAGTCCACCTTACCTGCCTCCTGCAAAATCTGTATGCAGGTCAAGAAACAATAGTTAGAACCAGGCATGGAACAATGGATTGGTTCCAAATTGGGAAAGGAGTACGTCAAGGTTGTATATTATCACCCTGCTTATTTAACTTACATGCAGAGTACATCATGTGAAATTCCAGGCTTGATGAAGCACAAACTGGAATCAAGATTGAAGGGAGAAATATCAATAACCTCATATACACAGATGACACCACCCTTATGGCAGAAAGCAAAGAGGAATTAAAGAGCCTCTTGCTGAAGGTGAACAAGGAAGTAAAATGCTGGCTTAAAACTCAACATTTAAAAAACAAAAATCATAGCATCTAGTCCCATTACTTCATGGCAAATAGATGGGGAAAAAATGGAAGCAGAGACAAACTTTATTTTCTTGGGTACCAAAGTCACTGCGTACAGTGACTGCAGCCATGAAATTAAAGACGCTCTTTGGAAGAAAAGCAATAAGAAACCTAGACAGTGAATTAAAAAGCAGAGACATTACTTTACCTACTAAGTTCCACCTAGTCAAAACTATGGTTTTTCCAGTAGGCATGTATATATGTGAGAGTGGGACAATAAAAAAGGCTGAGTGCCAAAGAATTGATGCCTTTGAACTGTGGTGTTGAAGACTCTTGAGAGTCCCATGGACTACAAGATCAAACCAGTCAATCCTAAAGGAATTCAACCCTGAATATTCATTGGAAGGATTGATGCTGAAGCTGAAGCTCCAATACTTTGGCCAGCTTATGGGAAGAACCAACTCATTGAAAAAGACCCTGATTCTGGGAAAGATTGAAGGCAGAAGGAGAAGGGGATGACAAAGGATGAGATGGGGGGATGACAAAGGATGAGATTGTTGGATGACATCACCAACTCAGTGGACATGAGCTTGAGCAAGCTCCAGGAATGGTGATGGACAGGGAAGCCTGGCCTGCTGCAGTCCATGGGATCACAAAAAATTGGACAAGACTGAGCAACTGAAAAATAATAACAGCAATATTTAATATCCTGTGATAAACCACAGTGGAATAGAATAGGAAAGAATTTGAAAAAGGATATATATGGATAACTGTCACTTTGTTGTACAGCAGAAATTAATTAATACAGCATTGTAAATCACTAGACTGTACTTCAATAAATTTTAATATTATATATATATTTATATATTTATATATATATATACACACAAAAAAAAAAATTCCAGAAAATTCCAAAAAGGGCAACTCTGATTTATGGCAATCCAGCAGCTATTTACATTGCATTAATTTTTATTATGAATTATTAGTAATCTAGAGATGCTTCAATGTATAAGGCAGGATGTATTTAATTTATGTGCAAATGCTACACCAATTTATATAGGGGACTTTAGCATCCTTAAAGTTTGGCATCTATAGAAGGTCCTGGAACCAATCCCCCTTGGATAGCAAAGGGTATTCAAGTCTCAGATGTGGAGTCTGTACGTTAGACCTCGCCTAATCTTCCTATGATGGAATGAACATGGAAAAATCACCCTTTGAGGACATAAAAACAAGGTGATGCAAAATACTGTGGACGTACATGTGAAGAGGTTTAAAACAAATTTAAAATTTTAGATGACACAATAATAAAATATAATTGCAATTTAAAATATGCAGTTCTAAATATTTTTATAAATTTTAAGTGGCACAAAGTTCCCCATTTTGAAATGATTGTAGATTGAATTTTTTCAAACTTTAAACAGTTATTGGCATTAACAACACCAAAATGAATATTTGCTTTAACGAGAGAGATCACAAATCACAGAACTATAAAAATCAAATATTTATTATATAGTGTGTTACAAACTAGGCATACTGAGGAGCAGGAGGTGCAGAACACTATTAGATAAATATGTATTATATTAATGCGTAGTTTGGACCACCAGTCTAACCTCACACATTCTTAATTAG